CAAGGACCATGTAATAAAAATGAGTAGAAGGTAATAAGCCTGAAATGATCGCAAGTTAATGTATTGAAGTAAATAATTAATGCAAGTAATGAACGTAAGTATTATGTATTGGCAGGGAATGCCATAAGTGTAAGGAGATTTCATTGAACGCACGGAGGCTGATCGAAAAATATCCGGACAATGTCGGTTATTTTTATTTTATTTTATTTATTTTTTTTTTTTTTGGTGTGTTAAGTTTTATTTCAAATTATGTTTCCTAATTTTAAAATCAATTTTGTTACCAGAGACAACGCTTGATAGCATTGTAAAGTCATAAACATAAATGTAACACATAAATTTCTCTTACTCCCTATACAAATCATTTACATTTATTAATATATGACAGAAGTCCACAAAGGTTTTGAACAACCCTCATAAGTAGCTTATTATGAACGTAAGTAGAATGTAATGGAAAAGAGTAGAAAAAAACTTTTTTTAAAATAATTGAATTAAGCAAAGGTAATAAAATTATTCATCGTAGTGTACAAGATTTCGAATTACACAACATTTTGATTAGACAAATTTCACTGTAGCTTGAAATAAACGCAGATAAAAATTTAAAGGAAAGTTTCTGAAGGTATAACATTCTCCTGAAATACGAGATATTGTGCTGTAGCTTACATTTCCTGTGAAAGGTCATCTGCTTGAAACATCTTTACTCAAATTACTACAGAAATCTGAATATTCTTAAATACTTGTTTCTAGGAATAGCTCTCTATCTTAAAACATCAGGATTTTGATATACATGTAGTTAATTCTGATAATTTTTAAATGTGTGACAGTAAAAGGATACATTCCGTATGCATAGAATACAAGAGAAAGAATAAAAGAAATTATTTTAAAGAATGCTGAGAGAAATTCATAAGCTGCTTCTCTTTTTCAGATCGTCCTAGCCGTGATCCATTGGCATAGTTCCCCTTCCACAGCGAGTCAAAGTAGTATAATAACAGAAGCACTATACCATGTCTATGTTATTTTCATTTGGATGTGTCATTTAAAACATTTACTTATAATTAATAACAAAAACTTAATAACAATAAAATAAATAAATTGAGGCGAAGTTTGTTCTTTGTTGTCTTGATTGAATTTTCAGTTGAACACAATTTGGTCAGTGTAACTGGACTACGGACAGCAGAAAAATTATCGTGTTTTAATGCAAAGTGATTTATTTCGATCATATATTGTTACATGGTATTACATGGAAACTTCCCAACGTATTTTTTCTGCAAATTACTTTGTATGAAGTTTCGCTCAGTGTGATAATTTTCAGCACTTTATTGAATTTAATACCACAACTGATTTACTTTCATTTGTAAATATAGGAAGCAAATTGAGAACCAATAATTCGTATTCAGACATGACAGTGGCAAATCGGAAGTTAGAGGTCGTAAATTTTTAATTCTCCCAATGACAACCAAGAAGTACTTATATGATGTGAGACACTGGTGAAAATGTTCTAGAGGGAGAATTTTTTTCCCCTAAAAATAACCTTTATTGTCATTTATTAATGAAACTATCGATTTATTTCAGCTCATGATTTTACAGCACAGATTTTCAGGAATACGAGGGGTGATAAAAAAGTTCGCGAACTAATTGAATTACTTCCTTAAAAGAAATAAAATGAGGTTTCAGTGTTCATTATTTTTTAAAGTTATCCTCTCAGATTTAATTGCACATCTGCCATTTTTCTGCCCATGCGCGAATCACGTGATCCAGGCGGTCACGTGACATGCTCCTTAGCAATCTGTTCACAGAAGCTAAAAGATTTTTCCGAGTCTTATATTTCTTACCATGCAAAATATTTTTATAAAGGACAGTACATCTGTCAGAAATGGCCAAATCTCGGCAATAGGATGGACGGATAAGGATATACCTTCCCAGAATTAGCATGGTGACCTTCACAATCCGTCTCGGGAGCGTCGCTTATCCAATGTGGATAAAGTATGGGCGCCTTCTTATTTTCATATCTCATATGTTTAAAGTCTACAGTAAACGATATTTAAGGGATTTGATAATTATATTATTGTTAAGATATTCAACTATTTTTCTAATTGTAACTTGGCGATCTTTCATAATAAATTGCTCAACGAAGGACACATCTTTTCCCCGGCTTGCTTTCGCTGGACAACCGAACAAACATCAATTTTATCCATCTCCCTGCCTTCCCTGCCTTCGCTAAAACAATCAATCCAATTAATGATTGAACTTCTGGTAGGTCTTTTGTTTTCATAAACCTTGTACAAATTATCATATTCTACTGCAAAGGAGATATACGTTAAACTTTACAGCCGTTCGTTGCTCGAGTACGACTGAGTCAACCATTTTTTGTCACAAGTCACCCACATATTGACGTCATTTTCACATTGTGACGTCACAAACACGTAACAAAACATTATATAACATCTGCTATTTATAGAACATGTGTATGACTATATGTGTGCCAAATTTCATTCTGATCTGAATTCACGCATCCACGCTCCGCCCACCGATGGCAACGAAAGTCACGTGGTTGCAGACTCCGACAAACTAACGTAAACAACATGGATGCGAGTTACAGAAATCGCACAGAAAAACTTTTCAGTCGGCTTGTTTGCTCACGAATTTATAGAGAAACATTTGTCAAAATGTAAGACATGTTCCAGAGAGATTTCAATCACAAAATTTTAGTAAATAGAAGTATAATTTTAACCTTTACCGATGTAGATCGGTACTGCATCCGACTTGAAGGTCAGTTCAACTGTCTCCGAAATATTTACTGTTCTGATACGTACTGCATAGTAGATCAGGGAACGTTATTAATTTTCAATGTTTACAATAAAATTGACAATATTTGTTTGTTTTTAGTTAGCATTAAAACCTCAACCGCCGAGAGATCCCCCCCCCCAATATATTCCATGTATCTTCATCGTCACAGACTAGATCTAATCAAGAAAGTGATATGCAGTGTATATGTGTTCATCGATTTTGAAAGGTTGCTTATGCTAGCGCTGATCCGGAAGGATTCAGGACTCTCCTACCCCTTGAAATTTTCAGAACTGTCATATATTTGGACCACATCCCCCTCTTGATATTATTTTTTGTCAAAGAATTCTGAAATATGTAGCAACTCATTCATCACCACCCTCTCTCCCAGATCCCCCAATCGTTTTGATTTGGACAAACTGATTATAGTTTATTATTATATTTTTATTTCTTTCATTTCTTTTTTTCCTCTCTGCACAGCACACTTAAGAGTTCTGATTCTGTGGTATTTTTATGCAATTAGAACATTTTGTCCCTAGATCTAAAAATAAAAGAATTTGAAAACTACAATTTGTAATAAATTTCTTAATATTTTAATAGGCCAAGATAAATTAATTGAATACTTCATGATTTTTCAACTGGATGTATTTTTCTCAAAATTAATGTTATAAAGTGAACAATAGAATTTTTTGTTTGTCAGTATTATCATTTATTAACCATTTTTCCTGGGGGTAAATGCAAGGCACCCTTGTTGAAAATGCATTGGGCATGCTCAAAATTTACACCTTCATACAATTTTTCTCAATGTCTAAAAAATATTCTGCTTCAGTTTATAAGGGTCCTTAAAACTATAAATGGGATACAAACTTGACTTAAAAATTCAGATATTATTTCACATAAATTTGAAGGGAAAAAAATCTTCCTGTGTTTGTACGTTAGTACAAAATAAAGTTTCAAGATTTTAGTCATGTTTAAAATAAACATGAAGATATTCATTCTAAATCCAATGCAGACCCCAGTCTGTTCTCAGTTTATGGTTCTAGGCATGGACTTTGATATATATTTCAGAAATCCTTAATGGTTCTAGGGTATCATAAGTAGAAATTACAATGTAAAAGACTGTTTAATGATCAAAACAGTCAGTGTACTTCACTAGTGACACAAACTTCAGGGGTTAAGGAAAATGTTCACATATTGTTGTACAAATAAATTGCATTCAACAGTTCAGATTGCTAGGTTTGAAGAACAAACATAAGTCTTCCTCAGCATTGCATATTCCAAGAGGAATCAAAAATCAATTCTGTATTGATATCGTAGATGTCAATCCAAAGATACCCATAAAAAGATACAAGATGTTCAAAAGAAAATAAAGACAAGGTACGGGTATACAGAAAGTTTAATGATATTGTACATTTCATATATAAGTAATAATAAAATCGTTTATGTCAAATTCAAAAAGTATTACTTTTCTTCTATCAAATTTCCCTAGGCAGTGATATACATTTATAGGGTTAGATGTTTGAATATTTAATTTGTATCAGTTGTTTCTCATTTATATGATCACATCACTGTATAAATCATTTACTTATATCAGTATGACATATATTTTTGGGGATTTCATCTACATGTATGACAGTGCTACACATTTCATGTTATTCGTGTTATTCATCACCTTTATGAACTATACACTTGTTTATGCTATTCAGCACATTGTGGATACCATAAGATTACATAAACAAACATGTATTATGCTAATGGAATTCATTAAATAAGTGAAAAGTGAAAAGTCTGTTTCTCCTGAAATTAATGAAGTCAATGAAAGTCAATCACTCATCTTTAAACATACGTGTAACATGCATATGGTCAACACATGCACATAGTCAATCACTGACACACCAAACATTGATGCTACACCTTTATTCCAAAATTCTGCCTTAGCCTCATCAGTGTTGATATACAATTATGGACTATTTACACAAAAAATACCTAAGTGACCGAGACAATTCTTTTGTCATTAGTATTGCCCCTTTTTTTCTACATACAGTTGAATTGTTTTGATGTCAAAAAATCTAATAAATTTTCAATAAGATTTCATGTTGGTATAAATAATACACACATCACTGACATACATATATATATATATATATTTTACTGTTTTCTTCATGGCAAGTGGGCCTTGTTTTTCTCCTGCTGCTATGTGGAGTTGTAGAGATTATTTAGTCTGTTCTGTAGGTTCTCTCTGTTTTTGTTGTAGTTCTACAACATGGTAAAATTAATCCAAAGATTCCTTAAAATGAAAAATAAAATTCTAAAGATCTATGAGTATAACACAAATAAATTAAAGTAAAATATAACAATATCTAAAATGTGCTTTCTGATTAAATTAGAAAGAGATTTTAGAAGTATTGATATGCTTCAAATATTACTTCAAGTATTGATTTACTTGGTATTTAACTGCATAAAAAACATTGATGTCAAGAATAAGTGGCTTAAGAGATTTTGATGCATTGTGGAAACAGTTACTTTTCTTTTGCAGTTCCCTTTCTCCATAATCATGTGTACATTACATAACTAACTGGAAAACTCAAGTGTGGTGATGTTCCTTTTGTATATACATACATGTAGCCTGTTGACAATTCATTTTCACATTCTGTTATGACACACGGGTGAAGATTCTTTTCTGTTTCCTTGTGTGCTCCATCATTGATCCTGAATGCATGTAATATTTTATTAAAATATAAATACATGTAATGCATTTGACTTGGAATGTTTTAAATGCTTTTAAAATCTTGATCTCATAAATAAATTTATAGTTAACTATCCTCAGCATTTTCACTAACACTAAATATCAATTGACAATAGTACAGAAATCACTATTCATCTGTGATTTTACTATGTCAAGTTTTCATGGTATAATGATATCTTCACTTGAATAAAAACATACTGGCTTTGTAATTAGGTTTCTTCATAACAGATACTTTTCTTAACATAATATCAGTAAGCTTACAACTCGTCTCGATAATTCCAAAGAAGCCTTTCTTGATGACTGTGACCCATCTGGGGGAACTGGACCTTGCTGTATACAGTCAGTATTTCATGGCCCATAAAAGCTACAAATAATTTAGATTCCTCAAGCTATATACAATCACAAAATGTTTCAAAGATAAAGCATTGTAAAATTACCCACAAAAATGTTTTGCAGCATTCTCATTTAATATCGAGAATTAGATTCAGTTCACCGAGATTTATAGCTTTGAACGGTTGAGTCATTGTCTGAGCACGTCTGTAAATCACTATTGTATGTCATAGAACATAATCTAAACATTGCTCTCTTTAATTGATAATTATATTATCACTAACTTTTACATTAACTTACCCGAATATCTTATTTTTTAACAGACAGTTGTGTTTCGGTCTTCCGCATGACATGCCTTTATCAGCTGTTTATGCAACGTAAACACTTGCTTTTCCGTCTTTTGGACTTAGGAAATGAACAAATCTCACCTTGTGTATTCTTTCCGGGTACCTCGTATCATTATTACATTATCCCATGCATAGGACCTCACAATTTTTCGTTACACAGCGGATATGTTGTATTAAACGATGTCATCTCGCACCTCCGACATCTGTGTGTTTTGTCGGAGGTAATGGCGGACAAAGTTTCCGCGATTCTGATTAGCTGTGCGGAGATGGCAACTGCGTCACCCGTGACGACGTGGAAGCGTGAATTGTGGTTTTGTAAATATAGAGATAGTTCGAGAACTTTTTGATCACCCCTCGTATGTCGAATATGTAGTTTCTGAACCTTGGATTTGAATCAGCTTGCCTAATCCAACTTTTCATATTTCAATACTTCTTAATAATATTTACTTGAAAAACTACAAGTTGACAAAAAAAACTTTGTAATCTACACGAATTAAGAAGAAAGTTTATTAAAGTGTTTATAAAAAGAAAAGACGATAAAAGGAAAAGTGTGTGTAAAATGTGCGGAAGCTCGATTCCCAAGACTCGAAACATTTGACGAAGTTTGGGACTGATCAGGACTGCCGGAATATGAGTGTTTCTAGTCCTCTTAGGCGCTGTCCATATTTTGCTGTGCAGTGAAAATATGACCCCCCCCCCCCCTTCCACAACTACTAAAGCACCTAATTTAATTGCTCTAACGAACCCCTCACTCAAAAAGTTTTTTTTTCAATGGTTCGTGCCTAAATTTCCTTTCGAACCTTTATGTCTATCCCCAACCTCATTTCAAATTTAAGTCCATCGGATGCGGCCAGATGTCAAGGATTAAAACCCTTTTCACGCAAGGGTTCAAAAAAGAGCTGAATACTGTTGATTCGGCGTTAAACAACATTTTATATATCATGTGCACTGTTAATACAGTCGACCTTGTCTTCAAATGACTATGAAGCTTTTCGGTTAACAATAAGACAAAAACATTCATGGGACTTCCCCCATCATACACGTGAAGTCTATAAACGCGGCTGAATGTTTAAATGTAAAAACAACTTTCAACGGGTTTTCAGAAATCTTTTTCTTGCGTATAGATTTTCAGATAACAAACAGGGCGAAAAATGAATAGTAAAAATATAATAATAATAAAAAAATAAAAACAAATCCAAGAATTTATTTTAAAATGAAAATCTTTCTTTCATCTGATTTAAAACCTATTGCGACGAGGTTAAAGTCCATAAGATCGGAATTAAGTGGTGAAAAACTGTTTTAGGCGTCAAGTGCTACCATCAAAAGGAGAATGTTCAGATTGTATATAAAGCCAAAATTGATCAGAAAAAACGCATTAATTAAGGAATAACTGTCTAATTTTTTGGATTCATGATGTGATCAATCGAGTGGCTTGCGTGATAATTTGCATAAACGCCTTCGGCGTTTATGCATAAAATTATCACGCAAGCCAATCGATTGATCATCGTCATGAATCCAAAAAATCTGACAGTTATTCCTTATATTTACATGCTCCCGATTCTGCAAATTCCCGTGCCAATAGCCCCGCTTCTGTCTCTATTTGTCCCGCCCCGCACGTGATTTTTTTTTAACCGCGCCTATCGATGAACCAGTAGATTTATGTAGAAATAAAGTATTTTAACAATTTGTAATTTTATCTCAGTCAAAGACATTGGAAATGTAAATATTTTACTTTATTCTTAAATTGAAAAATGCATTTTAATATACCTCATATTATTTATTTGTGGGGACAGGCTGTGCTAAAGTCTGGCAGAAGTACTGAAACAAGAAAAAATTAGAACTCTTATACTGTCTAATTACGCTAAATTGGGTGATGTGCTATTAAAAAATGAAAATGAAATGCTGAAATATGACATATGTTAAATCTGTGACCATTTTACAAAACTCGTACGTCACTTTAACAGAGTCTGATTAATGAGAAGTCGTCATGGTTTTAAAAGTTTTAATTCCACGGGGCACTATAGGAACAACTTTGAACTCAACCTACCAAGTGCCACTTTACATGTATATACGTTGGGGCAAATCGTTTATGCTACTTTATGGACAGATGTCCTGAATTCATTTTCAAGGCCGTGCCCAGACCTTTCTCAAGTTTCATTTTTGATTTTTTTAAAGTTTATATTATTTTTTTAATTTTGTATACATTGGATTTCACTGCACTTTTGGTTTAGACTTTTTAACATTCTTTTCAAGACTGTGAATTCTCGATTTCCTTTTCTTAATTTTCATAAAGCATTAAAAAAAAACTGTTGATAATTTCTTTCATCTCATTTATTTTTAATTGTTTAAGTACAGCCAAAAGAATAAATAATGTCATTTTAAACGCCTTATTTTAGATGAAAATAATGAAATTAAACTGGACTTAATCATTGAAAAAAGATTTATTTAGAATAATTCTCGCATTTCTGATGTTGATAAAAATAATACTAACAGCATAACCTATTCTAATTTTGGGCCTGCAAATCTCTTATTTAAGCTACAAGTAAAAATAAAAATGCTTCCGAGAAAAAGTTAAACTTATAAATTTATTTATCTTCAAGTGTTTTGTCTAGAAGTGAACAATTGAAAAGGTAGATAAAATAAAATTAAAAAATACTTAACTAAATTTTATATTCACTTCAGGAATTAAAAATTTATATACGACGTATAGAATGTAAATACTGTCTGAGATTGATGTCGATGATGTATTCCTGAGAACCATTTAAACGAGTGACAATTAATTAGGGCAAGCTATTTATCGTGCATAGGCTTGTTTGTAGAACGCAATTTCTAAAATACTAAACGCAGCAAGTTTATTAAGTCACCTGAGTCAGTCAGGTGACCTATTGCTATCTGTTTTTGTCGGCCGTAAACTTTTTAACAGTCAACTAAATTATTTGGCATATTACATCAGTTGGTGAAGGGGTACAAAAATTGGTCTCTGTCCCACTAGAGCCTTAAAGAGGGGGCGGGGGGTCTAAAACCATCGAAATTATTGTTTTCTTTAAAAATCTTCTTCTTTACTCATGAACATCAAGTAGTCACACTGTTGGCATGATTGTTATAAACATTGTAGCCCTGTTCCAAGCTTGTGAATTTCATGGCCCCGGGGTTAGGTGTTCTGGAGTTATGTGGGGCTCTAATGATCATAAAATGAAAATGCATAACTTCTTTAAAAAATCTTCTTCTCTCCCCTGTATTTTTCAGAAAAAAAATTAACTAAGTGCATGATAATGATAAGCAAAGGTGCCTCTTCCAAAATTGTGAAATTTGTAGCCGAAGGGTAAGGGGTTCTGGAGTGAGGGCGGGACACTAAATGATCAATAGTGAATATGCATGAATTCTTTAAAAATCTTCTCTCCCTCAGTGTATTTAGCAGATAAACCAGATGTATGGCTGTGATGAGCAAGGGTGCCTCTTCCAAAATCGTGACATTTGTTGCCCGATGGTCAGGGGTTAAGGCGGGGCTCTAATGATCATATAGTGAAAATGCATTAATACTTTTTAAAAAGTCTTCTCTCCCGTATATTTAGAAGTTAAAATAGGTGTCTGATAATAAAAAAGGGGTGCCTCTCCCAAAATTGTGAAATTTGTGGCCGAAATGGTCAGGGATTCTTGAGTTAGTGCGGGGCTCTAGTAATCCTGTAGTGAAATGTATCAATTTGAAATTCTTTACGGTTGCTGTGTATTAAGCAAACATTCAAACTAAGTGCATATTTATGATTACCAAATGCGACTCTTCCAAAATTGAGAGAATAAGAGACCAATGTGACAGGGAATATGATTAGTATTCTAAGAGTGCTGAAGCTCTTTTGTTTTGTTTAGTCAGAATGGCGACAGTGACAAATGAGGGCAAGTACAGACAAGTAATTAGATCCGCTTTAACGTTTGTAATGAGTATTAGACTAATTATTTCTTCATTGCTGATTATCTGATTTCTCTTGTTTTATAGGGCAACAAAGCTTCGATAATCTATGAGTTTATTATTCTTTTATTAAGGTCTTCCGTCTTCACGAAAGACCCTATAGTGATTCTACTGTTTCTTATTAAGGACTTCCGTCTTCACGGAAGACCTTATCGTGATTCTACTGTTTCTTCTTCTTATTATTTTTCTAATTTTGTGGACGCGATTTCTCGAAGACTACTAAATGGATTTGAATTAAATTTGCAGAAACAATGTGTTGTAATCTGACGTTATTTTATCCGAGAGAATTTTTAGAAAGTCACTTCCGATGCCAAGTTACGGACCATTTTCTGAATTTAAAAAGACATTTTGTCCGCGAATAATCTCAAGATATCAACATGAAACTTTCAGGAATTATAGATCGTGATAAATACTAGCCAGGACGTGACCTTTCGTTCGTCGTCAATACTTCTGGTCGATACCGGATGCAAATTTTAAAAGTCATTTTTTAAAACTTGTTTGTTTTTCAATATTTTTCTTTGATATCAGTAAGGTTTATAAAGGCACTTCTAAAAAGGATCAATATATGATTTGTTTTAAAATTGATAAATTCAAACTCTAGATATTCACATTTTAAAATTTGAAGCAGGGACCAAAATGGCGGCTGCCTCCGTAAACGCCAACTAGCAGGTCGGAGTTTACGGAGAAAGCCGAGCGTCTGGTTGAACGAAACAACCATCAGGATCAATGAAATGTGAAGGCATTGTTGGATAAGCAATCACTATTTTAAGAAGTTATTACGTGGCAAATGCATGCAAGGCTTGTGTCATACAACATGAATAGAAATTTTTTAGGTGTCTTTACAACGAGCAGATATAAACATGATAAATGTAATTTTACGTGCAAAGAATATCACATTTAAGGATGGTTATTCGGATAGAAGACCTCTCGTTGCTCGCAACGAGTATCTAGTTATTATTAATATCTTTGTAAAATTCACTTCCGGTCGCGTGTTTGTCTGTCCTCAAAATGAGAAGTTGTCTGAGCAAGATCTCGAAAACGGTAAGAGATTAAGACACCAAACTTTTATGAGCAACAGACCATAAGATGAAGGCAAAACCATTTGGGTTCATAGCGTCAGCCGTCACTTCCGGTCGTCACAAGAAGTGATCAAAGAA